AGAGATAGATCAAGTATCGACCATCTTAAAGACTGAAAAATAAAATTGACAAAGATTATTGTTTAAGGTTGACGGACTCGCATGTCTTAATTAGTTTTTTTTTTGTTTTTTTTTTACGAATTTGTCAAACCCAAACTCAAACAAAAACATTGTTTTCAATCGTTCTGAGTATATCGATTGAATAGAATTTTATTATAAACAATTGTCTTGTAAATGGAATTTTAAAAGCATTCTGAATGTAAAAATAAAGAAAAAAGTGTGCAAGACAATAAGAAACACTACCTGCTTCAAAAAAGTGAAGTTTTGTTGAAATCGGTTGAAAAATGGAGGAAATCCAATCCAATATATAAACGTACACACACACACACACACACACACACACAATCTGCGTTTTATAATAAGTAAGATGGATTAATCTCTTATGACATGTCTCTAATTTGTATTTAGATACAATGAATTTATTTTCGATTTTTCTAGTTGAATTGTTCACCTGTTATATGCATATGATCAATTATTGTATAATTAGGTCGTATTTTATATGAATACTACCTTATGAAAAGGGAGATGATTTAGAATGCTATGCACGTATCATTTATTGGAGGCGTAGCATGGATTCGGGAAGTATCAGAAATTCGTGGGGTGGGGGGTACGAAACCCTTGCATCGGCCTTGACTGTAGGAACCTTTATTTTCTCACTAAAGCAAAAACGGTTCTATGAAAAGATTTCGACATGAGAACAATGGAAAAGAAATGAGAGGAACTGAACCATTTTCCTTATCGAATTAAGCGTTTCAATGCCATGTGGCTGTCAAGTAAGACACAAAATGGTTTTTCCTTTATGTCATCCCAACGCCTCACAAAATGGTCGTTGCATTCGAGAAAGAATTTTTATTATCAACAATCCAGATAAGATAGTCCCACTAATGCACCAAGCTGGTCCTTCCTATAAAAATATCATCATCATCATCATCATCATAATCAACGCCATCATCATTGTCATCATCTTTCGACTTCAAGACGAGATCACACGAACTGGAATAGCTATCGTCACGTCTTCCCTCCAAATCCTCATCTCCCTGCTGTCATCAGCAAGGAGATCTTGCTTCTTCTGTCAATCGTAGATAGGTTCGCCTATCGCCCTGTTCGCACTCTTCCCGAATTTTTCAACGGGGGTAGACCCCTAGATTTATCCATTCTATTTCCTGTTTGGGATTGGGTTTCCGGCTCCTTCTAAAATCTGCTTCAGTTCTATACTCCTAACGTCTTCATTATCTATTCCATTTTATTCTTTCCTCCACCAACAGGAGAAAATAAGTTCGCCTATAATCTTGTTCACCCTTCTCCCCAGTCTTTTGAACAGGAGTAGATGTTTGTCCCTTGTTTCCTAATTAGGAATGGCCTTCCGGTTCCTTCTAAAATCTGCTTCAATTTTATATTCGTAACGCTTGTTCTTTCCTACGCCACACAGTAACCCTCTAGTTTGAATGGCTCTTGGGGGCTTTTATTGGATAAAAAAAATCAACACCAAAAAGCTGGTATTGTTTTGAGGTCTACAGATGATGTGATCTTCCAGGACAGTTGTCCGCAAACTGGACTCTTTTATTGATTGAATGATTATTATTTTTTTTACGGTTTATCAACTCTTTGCACGTTATTTAAAGCCAGAAGATATTTTTAGTTTGTAAGAATATTTTGGTGGGAGAGGTGTGGAGATTTAGTGATACAAGTCTTACTAATTAACCCATAGCTGGAGGAGAAGAGGGGTGTTCAAAGTGAATATAACGAACCCAACGGGATTTGGAACTCGGCTCTCCAATTAACAATTCCGAGCTATTAACCAGAACACCACCCGAACATCCAAGCTTATATCAGTTGGTTTTCCCAGGCGGTGACCCATCTAGATACGGACAAGGCTCGACGTTGCTTAAATTCGGTAATTCTACGGGCACAGGTGTTTCAACGCGATGTGATCTTGAACTCTTTTTGCTTTAACTAACGAGGAGAGAGGACATATTTTAACTTATATCAGTTGTTTGGTTTGATTGTCTCCATGTATTCTTTTTTAGCTTGCAGTACAAGTCTTGTATAGTTACTGTCTAATCTGTTCACAAGTTTGGATGAGATTGTCCATATTTCAAAGTCAGTAACGAAAATAATACGATAAGTCTGTCTACTTGTAGAATGATGGCGAACCAGCTTGGTTGCACATCGGTATTAAATCTATGCTTATTGTATTGTTATATATGTCTTCGATCGCTTCAGTATGGTATTCACCTGCGTCTTGGGTAAGACGAAAAACTACGTCCATGTCCTGGGTAAGACGATGAACTACGTCCAACAACAAGGCTTCTGATCAGAAGGTTCTGATTGCTTAATTGCTGGTGTTCTCAGGTCTACTCTAACCCGGGGTGGCAAGCACTTGCTGGGGTCCCAGCTATGGGCAAATAGTTAAACCCCAAACTGAGGTAAAAACATTATGAAAGTGTAAAAATAAGTTTTAATACCAGAAATACTTTGTAAAAACCTATTGAGGTTGATATACCGTAAAACAAATCAAACCAAACCATTATGGTATTAATGAATGGTAATATGCTCAATAATTCGAAATATTATATTTAACATATAAAGAGCTTAAAATCAATAGGGAAATTAATCAATACAAAACAAATTAATAAACGTGAAACAAGAATTTATAGACTGTAATGAATGCCACAAGAATTTCCTTCCTTGTTCAGTTATCATGATTGAAACACGTTTAGACGTTCAGGAGTCTTTTCAATTCATGACCGACTTGGCAGAATTCACGCAGTAGGCTTCATTTACTTTCTCCAGTAGACTTGGCTGCCAACCAAGGATAGAAAACTTAGGTATTTGCGCGTAAGTGAATGTAGCGAACACGGCTGAAATATAAATATATAAGATAGATTCTGGAGAGGAAAGTTGTCTAGCACGACACAATGAACCATCTTTCCTAGCAGCAATTGATTTAATACAATAGTTCTGCTTCATGTTAACAGAGAACATTAGCCCGATAAGAAACAACGAATGACTCTACTGGATGTTATCATCAGTCGTACCAATGGAAGGTAAAAAGTGATCTTTCTGATGATTTATAGTAAGTAGTTTCAAATGAAAACTTGAGGTATTTTCTAATTTTGTCCCTTCTTCTGAAAATGCTGAAGTGTTCTTACCTTAAGCTGCTACTGATCTGAGTTTTTTTTATGCAACACTTGATCCACTGTTTTATAACGTCATCAGGAGTCTGTAGATGATAGGAGGTTTCAAAGATCTTAAAAGGAATATAAAACAATCATAGACCAACTAACTTCTGACACAGATACTAAAGCCTAGACTACTATAACTGTACATGTATAATATACAATTATGTATAATAAACATCTCAAGCTTGTATCTTGAGCCTATGATTTGAGCTCATATGGACGTTGGTGTCTATAGATTAAGGAAAAGGCGTAAACTCACGTTATAACGAAAGCAATATTTATTATTATTAGAAAAGCTAATGCCGACATATGTCCTCCTCTATATAGAATGTGTAGCGTGACTTAGCAGAGGTGTCCGTTTTTGACACATATAACAGGTATCCGTTTCATCAGAACTGGTCTGTGATTCCCTTTGTCTTGAGCTGGGCTTTTGGCCTAGGAGCAGGTCCCAGGTCCTTGTGTGAGCGTTTTTCGTCTACATCGGTCCCTGTGTGTGTCCGAGACCCCGATAGCTGTCACGTCTTTTTTGTAGGGGGGAGGGAGACAACCTTTCACACCAACCCAAGGGGAAGAAATTTGTATGACACTTGATCAAAACACCAAACAAACCAATCTGTACCTGTATATCCGTTTTCTTCCCACGACTTACGAGGTACAATCAAAAACCACTTTAGTACACTGAAGGGCGAAAATCCTTATTTCTATTGGCGATAAGCGAAAATGTATTGATGATGCTCTAAATATGTTGCTATACAGTGAAAAATTGACTTGTTTTGATCTAACCAACAGCCATTTTCTACCTTCTTTTGAACTTATATAAAAATCGAGCAAGCAATAAAATTTAAATATCTGGGAAGTGTCATAATATTTGACGCAAAATGTGATGCCGAAATCCGAAGGTGCCTGGCAATGTCGAAGACCAAAACCTAAACAAAGTATTAAGAAACATGAACATTTCGTTAGAAACAAAGAACAGTGGCAAACTGCTATATAATACCAACCCTTCGATATGGCAGTAAGTACTGGCAATTTCCTCAAAGATGAAGAAGAGACTTGAAACAACAGAGATATGGTTCTACAGAAGGATGATGAGAATATCATAAATGAAGCATGGGGAACAACGAGAACATTTTAAGAAAACAAATGCAAAAAAAGAACAATTGTACTCGGAATGAGTAAGAAACAGTTGAAATATCTGTTGATGCTTTATGAGAAGAGAAAACTTGAGGAATTTGACACTCACAAGTCATATTGAAGGCAAGAAAGGTAGAAGAATAGAAGTAAGTAACCTACCTAATCATCTTGTATAAATGGATTGTAGAACAAAGATTGGGAGTAGATAGCAAGGGAACAAATATTCCTTAGGGTTAAAAAGGATAGGAAGTTGTGGAGAGCCATGACTGCCCATGTTCTGAAGGGACACAGCACATAAAAGAAGAATTAACTCGATAGAAATGACGAAATTTATATACCAGTTTCAAATTGGCATTTGTATGCTTTTAGCCTAGACTGGTTGCCACCCACAGCTATAGGACCCAGCCGTCTTGTAAGTGGAGGAGAATAGCTTGATTTATCCATTTCTCAAGGATATTAGAATGAACTTAACTGATTCCTCAATCCGAGTCATTAACCATTGCCCCACGAAACTTCCTTTTGTTTATATAAATGCTTTTTATGTTATATGAAGGAATCACCGAAATAAAATTGACGCTCTGGTTATTTTAAAACTCTAAGTTTTTGTTTAAAATCGGCGATTAAAATGCACAAAAATCTAAAAACAAGAGACGATAAAAAAGAAATCAAGGAAGAGAGAAAGAGAGATAGAGGAAAAGAGAGAGGGAGAGTGGAGAAAAAAAAAGAGGTTAAGACGAAACAGTTGATTTAAAAATCGATACAGTGAAAGAATAGTTAAGAGAAAATAGAGAACGACAGTGAAAGAGATTGAGCAGAAAGAAAAAAGATGGCCTGAGAAAGATGGTAGAGGGAAAGAGAGAGTAGAGAAAGGAAGAAAGACGAATCACGTGATTTGCCAATTTAAAAAAAAAAAGATACAATGAAAGAATAGTTAAGAGAAAATAGGAAAAGGTAGAAAAAGTGGGTGAGCAGAAAAAGAAATAGAATGGGGAAAAGAAGAAAGAAAGAAAGAAAGAAAGAAAGAAAGAAAGAAAGCGAAGGAGCTGTATGAGAAGAAATAAGTGAGGAGTGGGGAAATCAAAATATGTATTGAATGAGATGTCGCTGAAAGTGATTGAAATTAAGCTTGTAAATTTAATTCCCAAAATATTAAAAGTAGATTTGTCATTAAAGCGACTGGTAGTCGAAACCTGGTTAACCGCCACGATTTTAAGTTCTGACTTTTAAAGCAACTAAGCAGATTGTCAGAAATCTTCTTGCCACAGATTCCCACTTTATTGCACCAAGTTTAGAACCGTGAACTGCATTATTTAAAAAGACAGATTATTATCAAAGTCAGGCCCGTTGACAAAGAAAGGGTTGCTTTAAGTCATCTTGGGTGTCTGTTAAGTCCTGGTGGTGCGTATGAGGCAAGGTTAAGAGATTTAGTTCACATCGTTTTCATAGAGAAGGGATGCAAATGGTTTTCTGTGGGACATGTTCCCAACCCCCACTCCCCGACGGGCCTGCATAAAGTTCTGTCTGTCTCTTTTAATTAAATTGGAAATTCTCTTGTTTCAACCCTCAAAACATACCCAAAACAAACACAAAATAAAGTTAAAAAGAAAAAATTAAACTCTCGCTATAGCATTTAATTTGAAAGCAAAAATTTTCTGTCTCTGTATTTAAAAAAATAAATTTCGCTTTGAAAATAACTGTAAAAGAGAGACGGACAGAAAGAAAGAAAGAAAGAAAGAAAGAAAGAAAGAAAGAAAGAAAGAAAGGGAAAGTAAGAGAGAAAGAGAAAGGGAAAGAAAGAAAGAAAGAAAGAAAGAAAGAAAGAAAGAAAGAAAGAAAAGAAAGAGAAAAGAAAGGGAAAGAAAGAAAAGAAAGAAAGAAAGAAAGAAAGAAAGAAAGAAAGAGAAAGGGAGAGAGAGAAAAAGAGAGAAAGTGAGATAGAGAAAAAGAGAGAGAAAGAGACAAAGGAAAAGAAAGAGAGAGAAAGAGGTAGAGAAAAGAGAGAGAGAAATAGACAGAGAGATAGAGAAAGAGAGGGAGAGAGAGAAAATTCGACTAGTTTTGTACGTGTCTCATATTTACTTAATAAAAACGGGGAATATAAGAGATACATTTTCCTTGAAATTAGAATTTTATAAATAAAGAAGCCACAATATTATTGGCCCTGACCTGGCATCTCGGCTCTACATCCCACCTCCGCAATATAGCTTCCCTGTGACTTTTCTATAAATACTTTCATGCTAATTGTTCGGATGAACGTTCCATTATGGTACCTAGACTTTTATGAATTTAAGCGAAGCACTAGATTGGGAACAAGGTCTCATCAACTTACAGTTGAAATGGCTTGATGCAACCGGAAGTTCTACGCTGATAGTTTCTTCTCTCGCGCCTGTTTGCTTGGAGAACTCTCTTCCGGTTGCATGCTTTCCAAACAACTTTGATCTTCAAAATTTAAATGCAATGTCCGTTGTTATCTACGGATATCTGTATTCCTCTTCTTTTATTGTTCTCGCTCCTTAATGATGAATTTCTTTTTTCTTATTCTTTCACACTCAGCAAATTCATGTGTCTTAGTGGCTTTATTGCCTTGCTGGGGTGAAATGATTAAAAACCCCAAAAAGAAAAAAAAAAAAAAAAACATTCAAAGCACCATCCATCTTTTTTATTTTTTTTGTTTTTTTTTATTTTTATTTTTTTTGTTTTTTTTTATTTTTATTTTTATATTTTTTTTTCTTAACGATTCTGTGTAGTCATGTGTTGTATTTGCATGACGAGAACAAATATTATTTGTCTTATAATAGTGTTTTTGCATTCTCCAATGTCCTATTTTTTACTCGGGACAGAATGTTTAAAAATTCATTTGTTTCTAAGTATCATATGATATTACTTATAACAGTGTCACGAGTAATAACTTATCGCGTGTAGTCAACAGTATCAGAAGCGCCCTCGTTTTTAACTCTCTATTGTCTATTTCATTGTTTACCTCTGTCTGTATCTATCACCATCTCTGCCACGTGCGTATAGCTAAATATAGACCCGTGTCTATATCTCCAGGTCTATGTGAATGTTCTTTTCCCTCTTTGTATCTCTTACTCTATGAAATCTTTGTCTATATGTCCTTGTCTACGTCTCAATCAACATCGTTATGTCTATATCTAACCTTATCTGTGTCCAACTCTATGTGTGTGACCAACTCAATCTCAACGTCTATCTGTCCTCGTCTACGTCTAAATCAATAGACTACACTGAATCCATCGCTAGATCAGCTGCTAAGAATGTCGGTTCACTGTGAATTGTTCTACGAAGAATTGTTAAGAAAAAAAGAAAAAAAAACAGATGTTGGATGGTACCTTGAATGTTTTCTTTTTTTTCTTTTTTTATCATTTCACCACAACAAGGCAATAAAGCCACTAAGACACATGAGGTTATTGAGTGTGAAAGAATAAAAAAAGAAAGTCATCTTTAAGGAGCGAGAATAATAAAAGAAAAGGAATAAAGTAGATCGTTCATGAAAATGGACAATGCACAATTTTTCTTTCCGGAATCTATCTTGCATATCTATAAGTCTACCATTCGTCCATGCTTAGAATATTGCTGCCATATATGGTCCGGTGTTTCTGCTATTTTCATGGAGCTCCTTGATACGATTCAAAGAAGAATCAGCAATATTATCAGTCCTGATCTTGTCGGCTCGGCTTCAGTCACTTGCCTACTGCCATAAGGTTGTCTCTCTGTGCCTTTTTTTTTATAAATACTTTCATGGCAATTGTTCGGATGTGCTCTTCGCTATGGTATCTACACTGTACGAATTTAAGCGCAATATTAGACTGGCGGCGAGATCTCATCAATTTACAGATTAACTAGCTAGATCTAGCCGTAACTTCTATGCTAACAATTTCTTATCTCACACTTCTTGCTTGTGGAAAGCACTCGTGGTTCCATGCTTTTCCAACCAACTTTAATTTGCAAAAATTTAAATACAATATCAATCGCTATCTACTGCCCTGATAGCTCTGGTTTTTTTCTTTCTCGTCGTAATTAATGTTTCTGTTCCTAATTCTCCCTAACCTTATCTGTTTCTAATTCTGTGTTTATGTCTAACTGTATGTCTGTGTCTAACCCAATGTCTACATGTCCTCGTCTAAGTTTAAATCAATACACATATCTACCTCTTTGTCTAGCATTATGTATGCGTCTAATTTTATATCAGTCTCTATATGTGATTGTCTAAAGCTAAATAAACATCGCTGTCCGTGTCTAGCTTTGACTGTATTTAACGTTATATCCGCGTGTAACTATGTAACTGTGTCTAAATCAATACGTCTATATGTCCTTGTTTATGTCTAGATCAACATAACTATTTCAATATCTAACCATATCTGTGTAATTTATGTCTATGTCTAAGCTTATGTTCGTGTCTAACTCTATGCCGAGGTCCTACTCTATGTCTAGATCATTACGCGCGTCAATCTCTATGTCTAACCTTATCTGTGTCTAACGTTATGCCTGTGTATAATGCTATGCTTGTGTCTAACCCAATGTCTGTGTCTAACCCAATGTCTAAGTTTATATAATCTCGTCTACGTGTAGATCAATACGCATGTTTATTTCTATGCCTAACCTTATCTATGTACTAGCAGCATGGCCCAGCGTTGCCCGTGTTTGATTCAAAAATCGTACGACTCATACAGCAATCGCTATCACTTGACTTAAAATATTTTGCCTTCCTTATTTTTAAAGAAGTGCCCTTTGCCGTGCCGATGTTGCTACATGCCCATTTTTGCCTATCTCACACATTTTTCTAAGCTCTATACCAAACATTAAATCTGTTACGAAAAAAGAACTAAACAAAATGAACACAAAACGATCAGCTTTTAAAAAGGACTTGTAACTGGAAAAACCGAATGAAAAAAAAGAATGTTAACAACAAATATTTTTTCACACCCAACCCAGTTCTGCCGAATCAGAATCAACGTTGAGTTTAAGCAAGCGAATGAGCCAATTGGAGTAAAGTGCCATGCAGATTTAAATTTTTCCCACTTGTGACGAATGCAGCTACCGGTGTTTTTTTTTACATGCTAGCATGCTAGTTAACATTCGTGTCAGTCAGCTCTCACGCTGGCCAATAGAATCTTCCTGCCTATTCGTGGCAGCCAGCTATTGGCTCTCACTCTGGCCAGTACAAAATGACCGCAAACTACATGAAAACTGCCGTAGAAGCATGAAAAAATCGATTATTTCCACTATCTATGGGAGTTGGGAAATGCAAAGTCGGTGTTACCCTTCATGCTAACTTGGAGCATGTGCATGTAAATTTTGGTGCAAGTCCGTCGAAAATTGCGGCCGTGCATTCGTTATACACACACAGACACACCTCAAAGACATCAAGACATCTACGCAACTCCGAGAGTTCAAACCACGTCAGATCTAATGATGGTTTCTCTTGAAAGAGAGACGTGCATTTCTAATTATGTAAGAACGATATCAGCAAGAAAAAGCAAAGAAAAAATATTACGTTGAGTCATAAACACTTGCCATTATTTTCTCGGGGTGGGGTTGCTTATTAAATTTATTCCTCTAAAAATATATACAGAAATATATTTTATTCAATGATATATTGACGATTATTTGCATCGATTTGTTGACACTAATGAAGTCGCTCTTCGCTGTCTTTTTGAGTAAAATTCCACAGGTCGTTGACGGGGGAAAAAAATTACGACGAACTCTTGAATCTGGTTTTCAGTAGGGAATGTTTTCCTGTCAAAGCGTTTTGCAGTGATCGTAAAAGTTAATAATCGGTTTGTACTAAGGTCACGTGAATATGGCGGATAGGGTAAAGCAGGACTACTGTGTTACAACATTTATCCTGTGATGTTCTTGCAGTACGCAGCCTTGAGTTGTCATGGAGGAGAATAAGATTTTTTGCTGCTGACAAGCATTTATGGACAAGCTTTTGTGGTTACTGCTAGACGTATACTTTAGGGCAGGTTGTTGATAGAAAATCAACATTGCCCTCAGCGTGAATGTTTGGAATTGATGTTTTTGCTTGCAAACTGACTTTAAAATTTTACTTTTAAAAGAATAAATCCAAATAAAGTTGCTGTTTTAATACTGAATGGAAAATATATTTAAACCAGAATTCTAATTATGGATCAGCACAAGCAAAATATGGAATTTTTTACGGTGTTCGATAAGTAAAGACTGTGTAAAATATTGTGAAAGATTACAAAAAAGGCTAATCAATGAATAAGATCATACACCATTTGTTAGGTTATAATTAACACAAGAAAAGTCGATGAATGTATATATAACACCATAATACTGCTGGACATATATTATAAGACAACATGTTTTAAATGTGCATTTTTTTTTGAAAATTGCACTAAAACAACTGCACTGTATATTACATTATAATATAGCTAAATTGTTCAGTAGAATATCTTTGAAGTAAATGAGGGTCTTATTTGATGGCACAATGATTTAGTAATAATGTGCCTTGTATCTTGTCAATATACAATTTGTAAAGCTTCAGTAAATTATAAATTTTATAAGGCTGTGCTTTCACTGATCACCAGAATGAAATTTCAATGCTACGATTTTGAACCTAAACTTAATATTTAAACTTGTCTCCTACAAAAAAAAAGAAACGGTAATGATTTGGAAAAAAAAAATTATTTTGTATCATGATTTATCATGCGAAACTCCAACTTTTAAATTGAGGGAAATACCACGGTTCCAAAATCGACCTGCACTAGAATAAATGTACAAAACAAAATACGAAATATCATGCCTCCTCTGTGGCAGTTAATGTTGGAAAATCTCCTCATAGATGAAAAAGAGAATTTAGAAGGGGCAACAGAAATGTGGACCTACAGGAGGATGTTGAGAATCCCATAGACTGAACATGTGAGTAACGAGCATGTTTTAAGGGAAAACGGAAACAAAAAGGACGCTTAATACTTAGAATCAGAAATAGTTGACATTTCTAAGACACAGAATGATGAAAGAGAGACTGGAAAACTTAACACTCAAAGGCCATATTGAAGGCAACATAGATAAAACAAGGCAGCGAGTAACCTACCCAACACATTTCTCTAAATGGATGGAAGAACA